GACAGGTAATCAGGAGCTCAGCAACACGTGTGTGTGTGTGTGTGTGTGTGTGTGTGTGTGTGTGTGTGTGTGTGTGTGTGTGTGTGTGTGTGTGTTTATGTCTGTGTGTGCGTGCAGGTGCGTGTGTGTGTGTGTGTGTGTGCGTTTGTGTCTGTGTGTGCGTGCAGGTGCGTGTGTGTGTGTGTGTGTGTGCGTTTGTGTCTGTGTGTGCGTGCATGCATGCGTAGGTATATATGTGTGTGTGTGTGTGTGTGTGTGTGTGTGCGTGCATGCGTAGGTACTGTATATATGTGTGTGTGTGTGTGTGTGCATGTGTGTGTGTGTTTGTGTGCATGTGTGTGTGTGTTTGTGTCTGTGTGTGCGTGCGTGCATGCGTAGGTACTGTATATATGTGTGTGTGTGTTTGTGTGTGTGTGTGTGTGTTGTGTGTGTGTGTGTGTGTGCTGTGTGTGTGTGTGTGTGTGTGTGTGTGTGTGTGTGTGTGTGTGTGTGTGTGTGTGTGTGTGTGTGTGTGTGTGTGTGTGTGTGTGTGTGTGTGTGTGTGTGTGTGTGTGTGTGTGTGCATGCGGTGAAACCTCGTCCATGGGGGAGGAAAAAGGAATATTGTGAGAATCCGGGGCTTTTACAATTGAGCCGAGGGCTGGAGATCGACTGGAGGCCGGACTACCTGTTAACTCAACATCTGGTGAGTTTGACTGTTTTTTTTTTGATAATTTTGTTGGATGCTGACTCAGTTAAAAGATTATTAAATTTGAGTAACCTTATGGACACTAGTTATTTACTTTTAAACATATGTATTTACTTTTGAATCATGCAAAACCATGCAACCTTTCAATGTTTTTAATATCAGGCCTGATCTAAATCTCCATCCTAAATCCAGCTTTCCAGGAAAAATAAAAAATAATGCAAACTTCCTTGTCCAGCGTCTTATTCTGTGCATATTCCACTTAGTCCGGAAATTACTGATGCCAGAAGGTCCCGTAGGAAAGTGCCATTAAAAGTGAGTTCTTAAGTAACGTTCACCAGCTGTTACAAAAACCAACTCAACATAGCAACAGATCAGATAGACAACATACACATTTCCTTTTCCAACCAACACCATTTTCAACAGGTTTTAGTGAACACAGCTTAACTTTTGTGGTTTTAAATATACTTCTAAGTATCGTACTCTGACATTTTGTGAACACACATTTGATGACTAAAGCACAAGGCAGATATTTGTGTTTTTGTCAACAAGATTTTTAAAGTTACCAACTTCTGCAGAAATGTGCACTAATGGGATGTATCCATAAAAGGACTCAAAATGTGTGTTCAATCACTTGCAGACTGCCCTAATGTTAAATGTGTTGGGTTTACTTACAGTATGTGGTTCAACATACCTAGTGAATGATACTAAGCTATGATTGGACAATGGCTGTCTGTGTTGCAAAGGGCAGTCAATGCTAAAAAGACGCTAACAAGCTAACTTTTATCAAACCTCTTTGTTTTTGAATGTTTTAAGGAACTCAACCTGGTATCCACATTTTCTAAGGAAATATAACCTGACTGTTTCTGATGTAGCTTTGACTGCTAGCCTAGCATATTACGTGACCTATGTTATCGTCAACCCAACATGGCTAGTATGTCACAAAATGTATCTGAGTTATTGGCAATAATTAATCAGCTTTTTGGTCAAAGCCTCACTGTTTTTTTTGTTTGACTCTTAAATGAGCAGTAAGCCAACCTCAACCAAACTGAATGGCAATGTGTTATACAAGCTAACGGTTTCCGCTGCTAACCTGAACCGCTTTAACTTCTACACTAAATCAGTAGCTAACCTTGAATTCACTGGGGGTCTTGCTGCTAAAAATATGCTTGCTTTGCAAATATAAGCATAAGTTGTGAACTTGTATTTATTTTTTATTTTTTTGCATTTTAACGCTATGTTCGACAGCTATCTCTGAACTTGATGTGTACAGATAAAACTGATATCCATGTTTTTAAGTGTTTCTCTTGGAGAGGTTTAACAGTAACTCACCACTGAATGAGAATAATGAAGCAAGTTATCACAACCATTAGAGGCATGGTGGTATCTTCACATAAGACTTGAAACCAACCCGTAAAGACTTGGTTATTGAGGTTTAGTAATGTTTTCTGTTGTGGCCTCCATTTCCTTTTGGGGCACATGTTTAATAGCATGTTAACTTTGACTTTAAATAAAAAAAGTTTGTAAAACAAGAAGTGTTTTGAGCATTTTGGTGGGACCAAAGAGTTGAGTTTCGACAGCCGGTCCCTGTGCATGCGGCGTCTCCTGTGGCGACGGCAAAGCGCCATGATCTGCAGTACAAAAGGGAATAAAGTGATGTTTGTTGGTGAAGCCAAAAAGCCCCATCGCTTTCATGGAGTCACCTAATTATTCCTCTAGAGGTCCAATTAGCCCGACGGGGTGGCTGGACATGAAGCAAACCGCTTGGTCCAGCACGGAGACGATGGATTAGCCGTCTGTACTGGGTACAAAGATGCTACAAATACACTGTTTCATATTCCTCATGCATATTCAGAGCCAATGTATGGTTAACTCAAGAGTAAAAAGTTAGAATTTTCTCTTGGTAAACTTTTAATTGTCGTCACGATGGCAAACGGATGTGACGAGTCTTTTAAGAGACAGAACATGGAATAACATGCCGAAAAACTACTGAGCGTCTTTTGTTTCAGCATCACGACTGAGCACAGTTCTGTCATTTCCCACACACGGGGAAACGTCCGACACGTGTCAGATTGTGAAGCCGACAATTGAGCGGCCCGACCAAGCAAGGAGGCAGAGGCAGAACGTCCAACGATGTAACCCGGTGTGAGCATTTCTTAAATTCGAGCACAGGACACAGCCTCAATCTCGATGTTCCCGTGAGCACAGTCACCGGCGACAAGGATCTCACACACCCAACAAAACAGGAAACACAGAGCCTAAATACCCACACTAATGAACCCAACAAGACACAGGTGAGGGGGAGGAGACAGCACAGGGCACCAGGTGAACACAATCAGGAGCAACACAAAAAACGGGAGGGGGAACACTTTTCAAAATAAAACACATGTGCAATATTCAAGGCCTGAAGCCGACAGATCTTTCTCACTACGGTTGATAAGGGTTATGTAAAACAAGAGTCAAGCCTAATAGTGTGCATGTATGCTAACAGAAAGTTTGAAACTACAGAAACGTAGCAACTGAGGCGAAATATCTAAATGACAATAAATACAATTCAGTGTAAGGTGTTCATGATCAGTGTTCGATGTAAATAAAATGAAGTACAGCAAGAAAAAATGTCATAACATGTTGAGCAATACGCAGGCTACAATGTGTAGCTCATTGTTAATCGCT